GACCCCCCAACGAGATGGATCAGCTAGGTGGCATCATTGATGGACTCAAGTGTGGCAGCGGTAGTGAGGTTGGCCCAGGATCGAACATTGTTTCGTTCTGTTATGCATGGGGTCGCTATGAGTCGATTCCGACTCGATGGCACCTGACAACAACAACAACAACACATCCATAAGTATAGGTCAGGTTCATCAACTTTTAGCAATTTGCACCTATTTCCTTTATCAAACATTTTTATTCCATTTTTTAATATAATAAACATCCTAGTGGGTTTGAAGTGGTATGTCATTATGAATCTGATGATTAATATCCTAAAGCATCTCTTCTTGTGCTTATTGGCCATTTAAAAATATGTGGGGTTTTTTGTTGTTGTTGTTGTTGTTAGGTGCCATTAAGTCAGTACAGACTCATAGCGACCCTATGTAAAACAGAACAAAATACTGCCCAATCCTGGGCCAACCTCTCAGTTGTTGCCATGCTTGATCCCACTGATGCTGCCACTTTGCCAGTCCATCTTGCATATGTTTAGTGAAATATTTACTCAAGCACTCTGCTCATGTTGTAATTGGGTTTTTATCTCTTTGTTAGCTGATTTCTAGGAGTTCTTTCCCACTCAATCTTTTAATCTCTACCTGTCTTCTTCCTTATTCTGTCTGTACTTTATCTTCTACTCTCATTTTGTGTCCTGAATTCAAACTGACCAATGAAGTCAACCCAACTCATTTCCTATTTCCATCTGTTTTCTGGTGACCAAGATACCCAGAAAAATAACGGAGTCCCCTTCCAGTGGATGGTGCTGTGATGCAGGTTGGGTGTGACTATCCTCAGGAATGAGGATCTGACCTCACTGCCCTTTCCTGGGCCTGTTTGTTTTGCCTCCAGCAGGGGATGAGGATGAGGATGAATCAGGCGAAGAGAGACTACCATCCTGCTTTGACTATGTCATGCACTTCCTGACGGTCTTCTGGAAAGTGCTGTTTGCCTGTGTGCCCCCCACAGAGTACTGCCATGGCTGGGCCTGCTTTGTTGTCTCCATCCTCATTATTGGCATGCTCACTGCCATAATTGGGGACCTGGCCTCCCACTTCGGCTGCACCATTGGTCTCAAGGATTCTGTCACAGCTGTTATTTTTGTGGCATTTGGCACCTCTGTTCCAGGTGAGAATGAAGGGTATTTGGTTTGTAATGAAGATATCACTTGGTTCAAAAGATCCCTATACTGCCTCATTATCTTCCTCACCATCTTAAATCTTAGTTTAACCAAGTCTCCACCTTTAAAGTGCACAGCGGTCCATCAAAGAGACTGATGATAATATTAATAATGATAGCTAACACTTGCTGATTGTTTTCAATGTGCCAGGCGCTTTGTATGCTAATCAATTACATATTTTATACCAAGTAATTTTTACTTAAACTCTTTTAAATATGGATGATTATTATCCCCATTTAACATAAGAGGAAACTGAGATCCACAGAAGTGGCTTATTTCATAGCCTCTGGAGTGGTGCTATAAGATAAGTTCTAGATCGCTAACTACAAGGTTGGCAGTTTAAACCCACCAGCCACTCCTCAGAAACCCTATACAGGATCAATATGAGTTGTAACTGACTTGATGGCACTTATTAACAACAACATTATATAAATAGACAAGAAATAGTATAATTCAAAGAATATACATATTGTGCTCACTCCTTTTCCCCTTGGCAATCAGTCTCTGAGACTAGACTGCTTGAAGATGTCACAATAGAAGTTTCCATAAAGATTTTGACCTCCTCTGCTTGGAAGGACACCTATAAGTACAGAGTGTCTTCTAGCAGAACAAAGGAAGCTTGGTGAGATCTTGTCCTTTCACATGATGGAGTATATACTCTTTTTCTTATAGGCACTTAGAGACAAACAGGAATAAGCATTCATCTGAAAAAACATTGATTCAGTATCTCTTATGCCTGATATGAGTATTGTGCTAACTGCTGGGAACATACGGGGAGGCAGACAGAGGTGCTTCACTCTCCACACTGAGTTTATAATCTACATTCAATCACTATGGTTAAAATATTTTATCTCAGTAAATTCTATGAAGAAAAAAGCACAAGTCCAGGACAAGAATAGCACAGAGGGACCTGGACTAGTCTGGGGTCAGAAGTGACTTCAGGAAAATTGCATGGAAGCTGGGCCTGAAGACAAGTAGAAGTTAGCAGCTGAAGATTTTCTGCATGAGCTAAGGTCTTTAGTTAACTCACTCAGGGTCTCCAGGTCATCTTCCCTAAGCATCTTCCCAGGGTGTCAAGGCTCCCAGAGAAGATATTATAGGTTGACAAACTCCCTTACTAAATACATGTTGTTGTTGTTGCTCAGTGTTACTGAATGTGTTCTGACTCAGAGTTTCTGAGGAGTTTCTGAGGCACAACTGGTGGATTTGAACTGCCAGCCTTGTGGTTCACGTTCAAGTGCTGATCCTAATATGCCACACCAGGCGTCTAGTCAAAGGGAAATGATAAGTCTACTGGGGTAACTATCAGAACTGAGAACAGTCCTCCAGGGTCTTCCTACATCCTACAGATGAGGAATCAGGAGCCCAAAGCAATCAAGCAACTTGCCCAAGGCCACTAACCCTCAAGCTCCTGCCTCTAATTCCTGGTCTCTAAAGGAGCTCTGGTAGCATAGTGGTTACGAATCGGGTTGCTAACCTCAGGGACAGCAGTTCAAAACTACCAGCTGTTCCATGGGAGAAAGATGAGGCTTTCTGCTTCCATAAAGATTTACAGCCTTGGAAACCCTACGCAGGATCACTATGAGTCGGAACCGACCTCACGGCACATAACAAGAACAACAATCAGGCTTTTAATTTGTTTGAACTGGTTCAATCATTGCATAAGAACCAACTGTTTTTGTTGTTATTATTAAGTACCTTCTAGTCAGTTCCGACTCATAAGGACTCTGTATAGGGTTTCCAATGAGTGGTTGATGGGTTTGAATCACAGACTAACAGTCCAATGCTTATCCTACAGCACCACACAGGACTCTGGGACAGACTGGAATCAGCTCATTGTGGGTGCCTGGAATAATAACCAGAATGGGAAGAATTACAGGTCAAAACCCTAGGTTCAGAGTTTCAGAAGAGGTGGAGTGAGCGTTTTGGGGGGCCTGATATGGGAGACTGGATTATTACCAGGGTATAGAGAGTGATACACATTTCAAAGTGGCATGGTCAGCTGCCATCTTTGAGCAGGACACCCTTGTTGCCAAGTCTGTCAGGCAAGAAATTTAGTTGCTATGTAAGGTGCATGCTACCCTTGTTTTCTAAGAGGAAGATTAAGTTTCTAGATAGGCAATCACCCATAACTTTCCCTGTTCCAGTTATCATTCCAGAAACCAACATTTTGCAATTTCCAGTTTTGCTTCACTGGCCACGACTGAGCCAAGAAAAAAACAGTTCAAAGCCCTAGTCTCAATTCACAGTTCCAACCTGCTTCTTGAACATACTCAAAGATAGATCCTCCCTAGGCCTGGCCCACTTCTCCTCACCTCTTACCCTCCTGCCAGCTCCCATTTGTCTCTGCTCTTTTCTAGATACATTTGCCAGCAAAGCGGCTGCCATCCAGGATGTGTATGCAGATGCCTCCATTGGCAACGTAACAGGCAGCAACGCAGTCAATGTCTTCCTGGGTATTGGTTTGGCCTGGTCCGTGGCCGCCATCTACTGGGCCCTGCAGGGACAGGAGTTCCACGTGTCAGCTGGTACACTGGCCTTCTCTGTAACCCTCTTCACCATATTTGCATTTGTCTGCATCAGCGTGCTCTTGTACCGGAGGAGACCCCACCTGGGTGGGGAGCTGGGTGGCTCTCATGGCTGCAAGCTGGCCACAACTTGGCTATTTGTGATCCTGTGGCTCCTCTATATACTCTTTGCCACACTGGAGGCTTATTGCTACATCAAAGGGTTCTGAGCCACAGAGCAAGGCCTTGAGCAGGGCAGGCCTAGACTTCTCCTAAGAGAAGGGCACCCTAACCCCCACCAGTGACCTCTCCAGAGAGAACAACCTGAAGAGGCAGCATCAGGAATTGTGCCCTGGAGCTTCATCCAACCTAGGTCCTGGCAGTGAACTGAAAGGGCAAAGTCTTAAGCAAACAGAATGGAGAAAACACCCACTTTAGAAAGTATTTAATGAAGTACAAACTGATAATAGCAACAAATCCACCTCTACTCTGTCTTCCTACCTATTTCCCCATCCCATAGCAAAGGTCAGAACCTTTCACCATCTTATAGTCCACCTTTATTCTAGTTCTTCCTTCACTTCTAGTTTCCTTGGAGGCATCATTTCTCTTGTCCAAGTCATTATATCACTCTTCTCTCACTCAGCTGGCAAAGTGTGGAAATGAAGCATGACCATATGTCTGACTTGGGGTCCTCTGTGTTTGTAATCATTACTGTGGATGGTTTTTCATTTTCCATCAGGTTTTTCTTATTGCTGTTTGGTTTGTTTTTGCTTGGGTTTTTGTTTGTTTGTTTGTTTGTTTGTCCTGTCTTGTCTTTTCTTTCTGAAGTCAGTGACAAAGGTGGTTTGGAGGAAGTCAAGATCTGAGCCAACAGATAGATGTAGGAAGTTTCAGACACAATCTCTCACTGTCAGTAGGTAACAGCTGTCTCTTGACCCCACTAAGGTCCTGCTTCCATGTCTTCTTTTCTCTGACACCCTTGGAGGACTGATGATGTTTGGGTGTAAAGAAGTTGGCACAACCATAGGGGACACACAAGAAAGGCTGGAGCAGAAGGGTACTTTTTATGCCTACACTGAAATCAAATCAACAAATGCAAAGTTTTGTCCCCTTCTCTGCCCATGCCTTGCAAATTCTATGTGCCTGTCTCATTGTAACCATGTCTATATGTTTATCCTGTTGGATGACCCACCAACTGGGAGATGAAGAGCAGAAATAAGAATGGTATGTGATGACCAAGGGCAGTTGGGGAGACAACAGGGATCTATGCCTTCTTGAGTGTCTTTGGCTTTGTGTATGAAGCAGGAGAGAAGAGCTGTGCAACTAGTGATTTCTTTAAAGGGAAAGATTATATTGAAAATGTCCGTGCTTCTGAGAAATGCCAGCTTTATCACCTCCTCACTTCCTAATACTCTGTACTGAGAGGGCTGTCTACACTTCCGGAAGTAAAGCAAAGACTTACAAACTTATAAGCTCTTTCATCTTTCTTGGACCCTGTTGGAAAGCATTTTCACAGGATAAGAACTGCAATTCTTCATTTCTCCCACATTCTTGCTGGTTTTTAAACCTCATAAAGCTTGTTTTCCAAACTGTGGGGTATTTCTTGACCCAAAAGAAGAGTCTTAGTTACCATAATAACATGGAGCCTGGGTTTATAGGAAAAGGGTTGCCATGCCCTATAGACCTTTTGTCAAAAAATTTTGAGAGGACATGGCTTTAAAACACATACACATGAATAAACACAGATTCAAAATCACCACAAAACTTCACACAGATCTTTAGGCTTTCTGCATTGATAAGAATGCATTTTTCAAGGGGGAAAGAAGAAACAAACAAACAATCCTGTTTAATTTTAAACACATTTTTTAAGAAAAAAATTACTAAAATAGAATCAGTGCTCATGTCATAAGTAATCTTGACAGTTGCCAGTGGAAAAGTTGAGTTGGTTTAAAAAATAATAATAATAAAAGCTATACTTATATCATTCTCAATATAAACCTTGCTTCTACCTGTGTTTCTTTGGTGAAAGATACAAAATATTACCCTGGGTTTCTTCTTGAGCATATGTGATTGAGGTCAAGGTGTCGTCTCTTATTACACTCAGGTACCAAAGTCCCAAACCTGGTTTTTTGTTTCATCTTTTTAACACAATATTTCATCACTTCTATGGAAATTCCATCTGTCAAAACATGACTTGAAGAAACTGGAGACCATAGGTGTTGAGGTAGTGAAAGATGGAAGAATAAGGAATGTTTTGTCTTAGAAAGGCATGGTGAGGAAAGATTCAAGATAGGAAAACATAACCCTATATTTATTACAACACACTAAACTACCAAACCAGTTGCCCTTGAGTCATCTCCAACTCACGGCAACCCCATGTGTTGCAGATTAAAATTTATGTTCTGTTGGATTTTCAAGGCCATGTCTCTCAGAAGCAGCTTGCCAGACCTTTTCTCTTAGGTGGCTCTGGATGGATTCAAATCACCAAAGTTTGAAAGCTTAGCCCTTTAGACCACTCAGGGACTTTGTCATTCATTTAACAAGCACAATTTAAGTACCCTGTATGCACTGTACATCATTTTGGTGATACGAATAAAAGTAAACATAGACACCAACTTTAAGAAACTCAGTCTAAAGGGGTGATAAATATTGTTTTAATTAATGCTTTTTGGGTTATAAGCAACAGAAACCCATTAGGCTTGTTCAAAGAAATGGAGGGAGAAACACTGTGATGACCTGGTCGGGGGGAATCTTGTGGAATCCAAGCCAGGCCATAGGAACCTGAAGACCCTCAAGAAACAAGGCCACTCCCTCTACTTCCCAAAAACCACACAGGCACTCCTATCTTTGCTGCTTTCTGTTTCCAGGCCTCTCCTCTGCCTTTACTTTGCTTATCTTATACCCAATCCATCACATCAACCAGTCTTGACTTATAATATGACTTCATAGCTCCACTCCCTACAACTAGCTGGAAATTTCCTTTTTCACTGATTTCAAATTCTCAATTGAGAGAATGTGGTCAATTTCTTTCCAAAGTACCTATTCTGAAAAGGGGAATCCCTTGTAGAAGGCTTGGTCACTGTGGCACCTGGAGAAATGAGGAAAGGTGAACCAGACCTAGTGAGAACCTATTGGTCATTTTGTGTTAACTGTCCTTTTCTGGTCCAAACAACTCAGGTAAGGAAAGGAGGGTGACAATAACATTGTATGATTATTGTCTTTTCCAAAAGCTAAGTGATGGAAAGCAGTCTATTTCCACCAATAAAAATTACATTTCTGTGTCAGCCTAATGATCTAAGAAAGAGAACAAATGGAATGCAAGAGGATGAAACACTAACTGCCTGGAAGAATTCAGAGACTTCACAGAGCTTGTAACATTTAAGTAGGATGTTGAAGAGTGAGTAGTGATTTACCTTGATGCAGGAATCAGGTAGCGAACAGACAAAAGGATCAGCAGTACACTCAAAGGCACAGAGAAGCAACAGGATGTGGCACAGTCATGGAATGGTGGTTGTTGGCATGGCTAGAAAAAAATATTTAAGAATATGATAGAAGTGGTGGTGTGGGTGGATTTGAACTGCTGATCTTGTGGTTAGCAACCCAACAGATAACCCAATACATTACAAGGCCTTCTTTATGATGGGAGGCAGGCAGGTCATTACTGTGGCCCACTTGTGTGCTCTGTTGAGGATTCGAAGCTGTTTGCAGAGATCCCCTGAAAAAGATTTAGTCATGAAGTGATGTTATCCAATCATGTTGAAGATACTTTTCTCTCTTTTTGGAATGTGGGTTTTGAGCCCTTCCCTGGGTCTAAACTTTGAACTTGTGAAAGTAGCATCAAGAATGCAAGTCCTGCTGTGGAAAATGACAAATAGATATCAATGAGATTTGTAGGTAAAACAAAGTAACCCCCCAAAAAATAAGCAGGGAGAAGTGTTTGGCTAGAAGGCTCTGTCCATGTTTTGTCAACTACTAAGTTGCAAGTGAAAAAAAAAAAAAAAAAAAAAAAGCTGTTTAAGATGCTTTAAGTCATGAAAGGCATTGTGCCTATCTCTCCCCTTCTATGAGTCATTTCTGGGTGATCCAGATGCTAGCATTTACAAAGAGAGAAGCTGGGATAAACAATAGAGAATGTATAGGAATGTTGAGGGGAACAGCCTGGGAATGGGTACTAGTATAGATACCCTCAATAACTAGTTCTGTGGTCTTGAGCCAGTCACTTCTCTCTGAATCTAAGTTTACAGATCCACAAATGAGGGTCTTGGGGTTTGCTTGTTTGTTTGTTTGTTTGTTTTTAAGCTTTTATCGTGAATTGAGTGAGGTCTACAAGACAGATCATCAGTATTACATTCAGCCAATCATTGTAATGCTTACAATCCCCTCCATGCATCATCAGCTAACATTTACCTCTACTACTCTTTTATATATTTATTTTTTGATGTACACATACCACATTGAAAATACATATTTGTTTAAATGTCCAACGGGCACATTCTGCAAACCAGCCTCCTGCCCACAGGCAAACTGCCTTTCCCAGTCCATGGGCTTACAGTCCTTTGTTGATCTGTCTCTCTATGTTATTACATCTAGCACCATCTCTGTTCTCCCTGATTTTCTGTTAAGGACCCCTCACTCCTCTCATGATCGTCCCTTGATGGTCCTAGGGTCCTCTGTTGCTAAAATGACATATTAACTCCTCCCTGCTTTTGGTTACATCTCTTCTACATTTATAGTTATGACAATCACCATTAGTCCCGATATCAATCACTTACAATTGAATCATAAAATCCTATTCCCATCATCACCATACCCATCTTGTCAAGAGGAAAAGATTCAGTGGAGATTCTATCTTACCTTCCTTGTCCTGACTCTAACCACCCTCATGAAAGCTGTAAGCCTTTAAAGCCTCCCAATTTTGATAGCTGAAGTCTAAGTTGCCCATCCCTATCAACCCAGTGTGCTAAGGCACGTTTGGTCCTTGATATGAAGAAACCTTCCCTTTAAATTAGAATTTTGGGCAACTTCACCCATAAGCACAGCTCCAGTTCATCAAGTTGTAAAAATTTATACTTGCTCACTGTATCAAACATCTTTATCTGATTGAGTTCTGGTCAACAAGCCATCCAAGCTAGGTTAACTGAGTGCTACCTGCAAGTCCTGATGTGGCGCTGTGGGCTAATGTATCAGACTGCAAGGTTGGTGGTTCAAGCTCACCAGCTGCTCCTTGAAAGCCTTATACAGGGTCGCTATGGGTTGGAATCAACTCGACAGCACTTAATAAGAACAAAGCCTGAAAGTTTCAGAGTTCTCACACATCTCCCCCCACTTCAGACTAGCTGGATGCTTCACTCTTAACATTAATCCACCAGTGGATATGTCACTGTCCTTGACCTTGGGTGTTCACAGGTCTCAAATCCAGCTAGCCCTTCCTCTTCTCACTCTCATTTCAAGGTCATTGGGTGTCTATGGAACATGGTGAAACACAGCCCATGTCTTCATTGCTGCATTTCTGCCACTTCTACCTCCTGTTGGCCAGGACAGTCACCAGCAAGCCTACAAGACAGTTCACATGTTCCCTTTGAGTTTCAGTCTTAGATGGAGGTTTACCCTGATGAGTTGACTTTTCTTGCCTTGATTGTTCCCAGACCAACAACTTGCTTGATATTGTCATAGCCATTCTATTTTTTTGTTTTTCTGGGTTTTGTCGCTATTTTTTCTTTCAAGAAGTATCTTCTGTTCCTCTAGCCTTTC